ACAAAACTTTATTTATACACACTTTACTTTGAATTTTATATAATTTTTACAAGTCACAAAATTGTCTTCTATTTTTCAGCCACTTCAAAATGGAAAAACTGTTTTTAGCTTGCAGACCATTATAAAAACAGGTGATGGATGAGATGTGCCCCACAGGTCATGGTTTGCTGACTCCTCCACTAAAAGAAACATTGTTCTGGTCCACCTTACAAAATAATACCCAAATAATTGCATCCCCCTCCCAAGATCTCAAGAATATTTCTAGAAATGCAGAAATATCTAGTACCAAACTAAGAAAAATTCACACCTGGCTTCCAAATGAATGTACTCCTGCCTGAGGTTAGAAACACAGCAAGGATGTCTGCTCTCACAATTTCTAGTGAATGTTGTACTGGAGACTGGAGATTGTAGCAAGCCCAATAAGGCAAGAAAAAGAAATAAAAGTCATCCAGATTGAAATGACGAAGTAAAACTACAATGATTTAAAGAAAAAGACTATCAGAGTGGATCAAAAAAAAAGAGTCAACTACATGTTGTCTACAAAAACCCCACTTTAAATATAAAGGCACATATAAATTAAAAGTAAATGGATGGAGAAAAACAAACTACTAACATGCATCAAGAAAAAAACAAAACAGGGCAGCCTGGGTGGCTCAGCAGTTTAGTACCACCTTCAGCCCAGGGCCTGATCCTGGAGACCCGGGATCAAGTCCCATATCGGGCTCCCTGCACGTAGCCTGCTTCTCCCTCTGCCTGTGTCTCTCTCTGTGTCTCTCATGAGTAAATAAATTTTAAAAAGTTTTTTTTAAAAAACAAAACAGGCATAGTTATACTAATATCAGACATAGCAGGCCTTACAGCAAGTAAAGTTATTAGGGACAAAGAGAATCATTACATAAAGATAAAGGGGGTCGATTCCCAGAAGACACAACAATCTTTAATGTGTACATGCCTATCGCTTCTTGGCGTTTTGGCTAAGATCAAGTATAATGTGTACATGCCTAAACAACAGAGTATCAAACCACATGGGGCAAAACTGATAGAACTGCAAGGAGAAATAGATAAATGCACTATTAAAGTTGAGATTTAACACCCCTCTATCAGAAGGACAGATCCAGCAGGCAGAGAAATCAGTATGGACTAAGTTAAACTCGCCACCACCATCGATCAACTGGATAAAATGGACACCTATATACTATTTCATCCAACAGAAGCAGAATACATATACTTCTCAAGCTTACATGGAACATTCACCAAGACAAACCACAGTCTGGGCTACAGAACATACATTAACAAATTTTTAAAAATGGAAATTCTAAAATATCTGTTCTCAAACTACTAGAAATCAGTAACAGAAAGGGAATTGGAAAACCCCCAAATATGTAGAGATTAAACAACATACTTCTAAATAACACATGATAAAAAAGAAATTCCAAGGGACCTTTAAGAATATTCTGTGGTAAATGAAAATGAAAACAAAACTAAATTTATGGCATATGGCAAAAGCAGTGCATAGTGTGAAATTTATAGCTCTGAATGTCTATGTTAGATAAGAAGAGAGATCTAAAATCAACAGCTTTTTCCACACCTCAGAAAACTCGAAAAAGAGCAATCCAATCCAAAGTAAACAAAAGAAATAATAAGAGAAATCAATGAAATTTAAATAGGTAATCAGCAGAGTAAAATCAATGAAACCAAAAAATTAATAAACCTCTAACCAAGCTAACTAAAAAAGAGAGAGAGAACACAAATGACTACTCAGAAATTTAAAAAGTGTATATCACTACAGATCTAATGGACATTGAAATGATAATAAAGTAATATTATGAACAACTTTATGCCCAATTTGATAACCTAGACAATAATGGCTCAACTCCTTGAAAGACACAAGCTGCCAACATTCACACAAGAAATAAGGAGTCTGAGTAGGTTTATATCTATTAAAGAAATTGACTTAACAAAAACCTCCCAAAACAGAAAACATCAGGCTGAAATGGGTTCACCAGTGAATTCTACCAAACATCAAAGGAAGAAATTATACCAATTCTCTACAATCTCTTTCAGAGGACAGAAGCAAAGAGGATACCTCCTAACTCATTTTTTGAGGCTACTGCTCTCCTAATACCAAAGCTAGACAAAGATACCACAGAAAAGAAAAAAACAGACCAGTATCACTCACGTACATAGATAGAAAAATCCTCAAAAAAAAAAAAAACAAAAACAAAAAAAGTATCAGCAAATCAAATCCAACAATGTATAATACACCACAGTCAGTAAGATTTATCCTAGGTATGCATGCCAGGTTCAACATTCAAAAATCAATTAATTAATCCATCATATCCACAGGCTAAAAAGGAAAAATCACATGATCATATCACTAGATACAGAAAAAGTACTTGACAAAATCCAGTATTCATGGATGATAAAAACTCTCAGTAAATTAGAAATAGAGGAGAAGGGATCCCTGGGTGGCGCAGCGGTTTGGCGCCTGTCTTTGGCCCGGGGCGCGATCCTGGAGACCTGGGATCGAATCCCACATCGGGCTCGCGGTGCATGGAGCCTGCTTCTCCCTCTGCCCTCTCTCTCTCTCTCTCTCTATCATAAGTAAATAAAAAAAAAAAAAATTAAAAAAAAAAAAAAAGAAATAGAGGAGAATTCCCTCAACTTGATAAAGAATACCTACAAAATCCCCAGAACCAACATCACACTTGACGGTGTGAAACTTGGAGCTTTCCCACTAAGATCAGGTACAAGGCAAGGATGTCCTTTCTCAACACCCCTTTTCAACACTGTACTGGAAGTTTAAGCTAATGCAATCAGATGCGATAAGACAAGACAATATATATATATATATATATATATATATATATGGATTGGGAAGAAAGAAAGAAAACTTTGTTTGCAGGTGATATGATCATGTAATGTAGAAGATCAAAAAGAACTAACAAAAATCTCCCAAAACTAGTAAGTGATTATAGCAAGGTTGCAGGAAACAAGATTAATATGTAAAAGTCATTCACTTTACAATAAACCAGCAATCATAGGTGGAATTTGAAACTAAAAACACAATACCATTTATGTTAGCATCCCTCAAAATGAAGTATTTAGGTCTATCAAAATATGGACAAGATCTATATGAGAAAACCCACAAAACTCATGAATGGAATCAAAAAAGAACTAAAAGAAAGATATTCCATGTATGTAGAAAGACTCAATACTGTCAAGACACCAGCTTTCTCCCCACTTTATAGATCTAATGCAATTTCCATCAAGATCCCAGCAGGTTATTTTGTGGCTATAAACAAACTGATTCTAAAATGTTATTGGAAAGGCAAAAGACTCAAAATAGCTTACACAGTATTGAAGGAGAAGGAACAAAAGTAGAAAAATTGACTTCAAGATTTACTCTGAAGCTGTAGTAATTCAGACACTGTGGTACAAGCAAAGGAACAAAGGGAACAGAACAGAGTGCCCAGAAATGGACCCACATAAACATAGTAATGGTCTTTGACAAAGCAGCAAAGGTAATAAAATGGAGCAAAGACCATCCTTTCAACAAATGATGCTGTAACAACTGGACATTCACATGCAAAAGAACCTTCAACTAAATTTTGTTCTGTATCTAAAACTGCTCCAAAAAAAGAAAAAATAAAGTCCTATAGACTTTACGAAAAAGCTTTTAACAAATTAGTGAGTTTAGCAAGGTTGCATGATCCAAGATCAATACACATAAATTAGTTCTACTTTTCTACACTGGCAACAATCATAGAAATTTTAAAATACCATTAATAACAGAACAAAAAGCATGAAATATTTAGGGATAAATCTGATAAAAAAAATGTACCAGACATGCACAATGTCATACATATGTCAAAACTTATTGAATTATATACTTTAAATATATACTATTTATGACATGTCAAGTATATCTCAGTAAAACTGTTTTAAAACATATCTGTAATACACAAAAATCATGCACAAAAACAGGAACATGAAAAATGTCTGTGACATACATTCAAGAAAAAAAGTAAAAGCTGTGGCACTACCTGTATCATGATCTCATTTATGTAAAAATATGTGTGTGCTTCTACTAAATATATGTGTGTATGCGTATAGAAAAAAAGCCTGAGGAAATAAATGTTGAACTGGTTATAGTTTGAGATTGTAGAACCAATAGGAGATGTTTTTCCATGTTATACCTCCCTGTATTGTTTGAACTTCCCAGAACAATCCTGCATTACTTCCAAAATTAAAAAACAAACAAACAAAACCCAGAAAAACATAAAACAAACAATTACGCTTAAAAGCCACTGGACAAGATGAACTTGAAGATAAAGGCCAAATGGGCTTATTTTGTATAAGAAAAAGATTGGGGGGGGGGGCTGGGTGCCTCAGTAGGTGAAGTGTTTACTTTCAGCTCAGGTCATGATCCCAGGGTCCTGGGACTGAGTCCCACATTGGGCTCTCTGCTCAGTGGGGAATCTGCTTCTCCCTCTCCTGTTCCCCCTGCTTATGCTCACTCTCTCTCTCTCAAGTTAATAAATAAAATCTGAAAGAAAGAAAGAAAGAAAGAAAGAAAGAAAGAAAGAAAGAAAGAAAGAAAGAAAGAAAGAAAGAAAGAAAGAAAAAGAGAAAAAAAAGAAAGAGAAAAAAAGAAAAAGAAAAAAAAAGAAAAAGGAGGAGTGTTGTGTTCTTTTGGAGCACGAGTCCCATCAAGGAGTAAAGCGAGGGGGGGCACATGCCTCGGATTCACCTGGGTTTCTCAGACTCAGAACTGTGCACGTGCTCTCCCTCCCAGTGGAGAATCACTACTTCCATGGGCTACCTGGATGGATGACCCCATCTGTCTATGCCTCAGACACCCTAAGGCACAAAATCGCCAAGAGCTTTAAAGGACCAACAGCTTTCCTGGTGATCTTCAATGGGTGTGAGGAACATTCAAAGGCTGCAGTAAAATTCTGACAAGGTTTCTGGGCCCATGCTCCTGGGGTATTCAGTACCTTGGATAATCTTCTGCTGCTGTTGCCGGATTTCATCAAAACCCAAACCTCTGGTCTCCTCTGGCTCCTCAAAAAGCCAAGGGTTGGGGACTCCTCGCTTAGCCCCTCCAGTCATCAGGCTGGACCTGGGAATAAGATTCAATGTGTTACATAACTCAAAAAATATAGCTCTGCTGCAAATTATTCCCACAAGTGCAGAGGTGGCCAGCCTCACATGCTTTGAAAATTCAATTCAACCACAATTTATTGCATCCTTAGTTTATGCCAGCAACTGTGTTCATGCTGGACGAGGTATGAGGATGAATAAGGCACAGGCCTGGTCTCCCCAGAGAATTACAGCCTGTTAAAGAGGCTATAGCAGCACATAATACCTTTACTAATCTTCCAAGATACATCCGAGTCAATAATCATGAATGAGGATCTTAAATTTCAAAAACACAAGGCCAAATGGAAGTGGCCTTTTTATTACAACAAAGCCCCGTCTCACAGGCTACGTGACACCAAAGGCACAAATATTATTTCTTAAGATACAATGTTGCAACCACAGGTTATGGCACTTAAAAATGACCACAGAATTTTTTATTAAAGGGTGTTAGGTTGTTCACAGACAAAAACACACACAGGGTTTCAAATTCAATCTTACAAAGGCAATGTAGTACTCGCAACATAATAAACAGATTCTGAATTATTTGTCTTAATCTTTACTCGCCCTAGTATCCCACACACCCCTTCTGCACCAGACACATTGGTGTCCTTGCTGTCCCAGGAACATGGAACACATGTTTTCAGCCTTGGTTTATAGGATTTTCATCTCAAATATCTCCTTCCCTGTCTCCACCTGCCCACATTCTGTCCAAGCCCCAAGGACCATCGTGTTCATGAAACCCACATTTCAACCCACAATGTACGGTCAGTCATTTGGGAGCCTGGTTGGATTCATAAAAAGTGATTGGTGACATAACCATAGTGGCAGACACAACAGTGGTTAACATGTAGTGAGCACATGCTATGTGCAAGCACAGCTCCAGACGATGGGTATGCATTCATTCATTTCTCCATCACTTGTGACTCTTCTAGTACTTTGCAGATTTCTCAAATTACCTGGAAATAACTGCTACTCCATTGTTGAACCTTTTACGTAGGTAAGCTTCTCGTCTAATAGAGAGATGGCAGGAACCAAAAGCCATCCTTGACTGGATTATATGCTACTCCCCAACACAGAACAAGCAGCTGTCAACACAGGTTCAAATCCTGGCCCCACCACCTACCAAATCCAGACAGCAATTTCTACCTCAGAGGGTTGCTGGGGAGTAAATAAAATAAATCTATTTACCCAAAGAACATTTATTCAATACTTAGTATGTAGTAGGTATTGTTCTCATTCATGGGAATGAGAAAAAAATAGAATACAGGAAAAACAGAACAGAATCTCTGCCCCTACAGGGTACAAATTTTTGTGATGGGTGCTGCTTCCATTCCGATGGTGGCAGGTGGGAGGGAGACCAGGTGTGAAACATGTAGAAAGCGTTCAGTGCAGTTCTTGGAAGAGAAGAGTCACTCAACAAATGTTCACTAGTATTGTTCTATCGCTTAATGCTCTGCATACACAGGGCACACTAAAGTACAATGTTTTAATATAAGAGTATACCCCAAAAGGCTGTATCAACTTCATTTTTTAGTCAAGTACTCTGGAACCTACAGAAGAAGATGCTGTGGATTGAGAAACAAACCCAGGTGAGAAGAAAACTTTTGACTACTTAGACCTAAGATTTTAAGCACACGGCTGGCCTCTGCTTGAGCACACGAACATGCCAAACTGAAGCACAATGTGGTTCCACCTCATCAAGTAGGCAGACATATTTCTTTAAAACCTTACTCTGCTTGGTCAGCCCCAAGTATCTACGATGTCAAGATCCTGGATTTATTCCCTAGAATAATCATTCAGTCTCACCTAACTCAAGATGTGGGGATGAATGCAACAGAGAAGAGAAAGAAGAAGCGAGTTTAGAAAAAGCACGTTCCCTGACTCTTACAGCACCTTGCTAGCACCAGCTCTGGCTCAAAATAGGACTCCTCTGGGAAGTTGCGTATGGACCCCTGAAAAAAACAAGTGCTAAAGACCAGTACAATGGGTCAGAGGGACATAAGGTAACCTCACAGTGCATCTATCACCGGCCAAGAGCACCCTCCCATTCAAATTAGTACAGCTGCACCTGTGCTGACAGTAGATGTTGCTCCTCCAAAGTTAAAGAGGGAATGTCCCACTGGTGGCTCTTGTCACACCGAGAGCACGTCTTTACAAATTACTAAAGGAGAAAACAAAACAGATGTGATAAAACTGCACAATCTCAAAAACACAAAGTAGAACTACAGCCTTTAATTATATATATATACATATATATTTAATGCGTATTAGAGAATATAGTACAACACGGGCACAATCTAATATTAACATCAAACACTCATAAGACGGCAGACATACAGGAAAGATTTCCCAGGGCTGCAGACAGACCTCCGAAGGCCCTAAGCACTGAAAGGACTGTTTTGGTCTTGCTTTTCACACAGATTGATAGAAAAGCAACAGTATGGGGGACACCTGGGTGGCTCAGTTGGCTAAACGTCTGCCTTCAGCTCAGGTATGACCTGAGGGTCTCAGGGTCCTGGGATCGGGCCCCACATCAGCCTCCCTGCTCCACGGGGAGTCTGCTTCTCCCTCTCCCTCTGCCCCTGCCACCTGCTCACACACTCTCTCTCAAATAAATAAATAAAATCTCAAAAAAAAAAAAAAAAAAGTAATCGTAAACCACAGTGTGGTTGGCCAAAGTAAAAATTCTTCTCTAATGACTCTTCCCTTGGCTATCTGGTTCCAAAGTATTGGGAGTTTGGAAAGTTTCAAAGTTTACAAGTTCGGGGCTAAACTCTGTCTTTCCTTTTGGTGTTCATACTTTGTTGATGCCCCAACTCTAGTGGGACACTCAGCAAGGGATATATCTTTATCAACAAGGGCAGGTAAGATCACAAGCATCGCTGTGTGCAGAAGACTTGATTTTCTCTTCATTAGATTTTATGTTCAACTTAATATTTGGAATGATGCCTATTACTACCCAGCACTCTCTCAGGTAAGAAGGAAAATATGAAAGACTTTAAGACATGATTCTTGCTTTCAAGGGGTTTATGATCAAATTGAAAAGAGAAACTAAGGGAGCCTGGGTGGCTCAGTGGTTAAGTATTTGCCTTCAGCTTAGGGCCAAAGTTCCAGGATCCAGTTCTGCATCAGGCTCTCCACAGGGAGCCTGCTTCTCCCTCTGCCTGTGTCTCTGCCTTTCTCTCTGTCTCTCATGAATAAATAAATAACATCTTTACAAAAATAAAGTAAAATAAAGTAGTACCCTTACTCATAATGCTCAGCCCGCCTCCTTATTTTGCATTTTTCTCTGTAGCATTTCAACAACTAGCTATTGGATAGGATGCACTTGTTTATTTTTTGCCTCCACCCTAGACTAGAAGCTCCCCAGGGTAGGGACTATCTTGTCTGTCACGATAACCTCAGTGCCTGGCATAATGGGCACTGAAGAAAAAAAAATAAAGTTGAGGGTATTAACTTATTTGGCAAAAACCATACCTAAATGAATGAAATCATTCACTGAAGCACAAAATTGTGCTTCTGTTTGGCATGTTTGCACACTCAAGTAAAGAGGCCAGTCCTGTGTTTAAAATCTTAAGTCTGGGGGAGACCAGGTGGCTCAGCGGTTTAGTGCTGCCTTCAGCCCAGGGCGTGATCCTGGAGACCCGGAATTGAGTCCCATGTCAGGCTCCCTGCATGGAGCCTGCTTCTCCCTCTGCCTGTGTCTCTGCCTCTCTCTCTCATGAATAAATGAAATCAAATAAATAAATAAATAAATAAATAAATAAATAAATAAATAAATAAATAAATAAATAAATAAATAAATAAAATCTTAAGTCTAAGGAGTCAAAAAGTTTTCTTCTTGCCTGGGTTTGTTTCTTGACCCACAGCATCTTCTTCTGTAGGCTCCAGGAGTCAGGAAATGGTGTCAGCACTCTCATGCTGTGTTCTGTGTGATTCCAGAGGCATTTTACGGCCACAATCTTATTCATGACATACACAGGCCTGTGTGTCAGCCACAGCAGATATGACTAACAAGAAAACCAACTTAGAGACATCATGGTGACTTTCTTGGAGGTCACACACTTAGTGGCAGAGCTAGAGGCATGACCTACCTCTTTGCACTCTTCACTGAAGGTGCTCTCTACCATCACAGGGGAGGCTTCATGACAACAGGGAGACTAGACATAGCCTTGCAGAGTGGGTAAGGGTCAGTGCTACGGGGAGGCAGGGATGGAGGGCATTCCCAGAAAGGACAGACATCCAGATGATGTCTCTGGGGTGGGAGGCGTGAGCCACACACGTGCTCGGGACAAGGGTAAAGAGGGTGCAATTTGGAAAGCGAGGCCTAGCAGCATTGATTCCTGGGCAGGCAGCAGTGACACACCTGCATCCCCTCCTCCCCTTCGCCCTCACTCCTGCAGAACCTTGTCATTTTAGCTTCACACTAGCTGCTCCCCATCCCAGATACCCTCTCATTCACAGCTAAGTCACCCTAAGGAATGAACCCTGCCTACTGGCCCAACCTCCGCTCTACAAAACTCTTCCTTGGCACTTGTAACCTCCTGACTGCCCAAATGTCCCCTGCTGCCCCTCCGTCCCTTTGTAGGTCTCGATTGTCACCACTGCCCGTGGCCCTTCTCCGTGACCTAGTCGCTCCTCCCGTGGCTTCCTCCATGCTGCTCTCTCCCACAGGCAGCCACTTCTCTGTGATTTGAAGGGCCCTCTTCTTCCATGTGTCCCTTAAATATGCGTGTTCCCCAGCAATTCTCTTCAGATTTGCTCTTCTCACAGTGTGATCACTCTCTGGGCAATGCTCTCTGTTGCCGTGGCTGCAGGGTTGGAAAAACAGGAGCTAGCAGGTGCTCACGCATGTCTGTCCCAGTCCACATGGAACAGGACACGTTCTCTTGGATCATCATGGTGGTGGGTTCTTAGCTGGGGGGTGGGAGAAGGGCATGCTCCCCTTCCTAGCAGGGCAAGATCAGAATCTGAAACCCC